CTTGCTAACAAGACTAGGATGGCTGCATGATTAGCCAAACCCTTGCTCTCTTGCTAACAAGACTAGGATGGCCGCATACAAATCCCCTTATCCCCGTTTCCTGCTTCCATAATGCAACCATACTTCAGTTGCAGCCCTCGGCATGTGCTGAGAGTATCATTGTGGCCCCCTGGGCTTCCAAAGTTGAGTAGCCCTGCTGTAGAGCATCTATACCCGGAGCAGCCACTTAGGGACTTACAGTACCCTCCGGAAGTTTAGTTCTCCAATAATGCAATTCCTCCTGCTGCCCACAGCTGGTTATTTTTTTAAAAACTTCAGTGAGCTCTATTCCCGATTCCATTAGTGGCCCAGCGGTGGGCAGGGAAGTTCTCCGTTAGCTCAGGTAGCAGGGCACACCTGGCTCTTAGGAGCTGAGTGCAAAGCCCCCACGAGGCAGGACAATGAGGAAGTGCCGGAAAAGCAGCACCAATGAGCCACTGACCTCAGGGTGAGGCGGCTGTTCCTGTGCCCCAGCATGCCACGGGCAGGATCGAACATGCCGCGTTTGCTGACACAGCACGCAAGCTGCTCCCTATTGAAATGCAGAAGCTGGGAGCTTTATCTTGGAACACCTTCTGTGGTGTGACTCCGCCTCCTAACCCAGTGGAGTTTTCCCGCGGGACACGGCCCCTGCATCCCGTGCTCTGAGCAGCCTTAGGGGCCAGCTATTAACTGGAGCAAGGATGGGGGAGTCCCGAGGCCGGCTTGCACCGATTCCCTGCCTGTGTCCAAGCCCACACACTGCCTAGGTGGTCGCATGCTTAGCCTGCAGTAAACGTAAAGAGCCAGCACCACAAAGGTAGTTGTGCCTGGAGCATCGTCGGGACTTCAGCACAAGTGGCATTTCTTCGCCCTCCCAGCAAGCCCGTGCAGACAGAAGGCTAATGCTAGGGAGGGAAAATCCCGTTTAGTTGGTTAGCCAGTCAAACTAACGATTAACCAGTAAATGGATTAAAAGGGGGCAGGCGGAGGGGGGCAGCTACAGCCTGGCTGGGCTGGAGTGAACCCCCCACCTGCTGTGGACAGGGACAGGCCAGGAGCTGCTCTCGAGTGCACGCGCACAGAGAGAGCCAGAACTGGTAAACCTCATCTGTTAAGGCTCACTGGCTAATGGGTTCACCAGCCCCAGCTGAGGCCAGAGCAGCCGCGTGGAGGGTGGGAGTAGCGCACTGGCAGTGCCCTACGCGAACACAAGCAGCTGCCTTAGGGGCGGACCCGATGAGCCTTGCGTGGAAATCAGAGGAGAGCAGTTGACTTCCTCTCTGCAGCCCCTAGCACCATTCTGGGCCCTTCCCCCTCTAGATCTTTCTTTAGCCCCGCTCTTGACTCAGACTCCAGGGGCGCAAACGGCGTCACCAGCTACAGTGGACACTGGGTGGGAACGAAACGGTGCAAAGATTCTACAAACGGAGCCACCCGGATACAAACGAGGACCTTTCCCGTGGGCGCCTGCTGGGGAAGGGGGGGTTACAATGCAGCACTTCAGTGCAGGCTACGAATTACATCCCTGGAGCCGGATGGATCGGGACCCGAGCGTAGATAAGCCAGAGAATGGGAAAGTCCAAGGCCGAGGTGCCATCTAGCAGCGAGATCACCCACGTTCAGACTTGCACGCGTGGGCTGATCCCTCGGCGTCTCTAGCCAGATAATCGAGGGTTGGACCATTGGGGTTCACTAGAAAACTATTTCCCTAGGCGGGTGGGGAAGCACTGGGTGGGTTCCCTAGGGAGGGGGGGGACTCTCCATCCCTAGAGGTGTTTAAGTCCCGGCTTGACAGAGCCCTGGCTGGGTTGATTGAGTTGGGTTGGTCCTGACTCCTGAGGTCTCTTCCAGCCCTGGGATTCTATGATCATAGTCTAGCCTGCTCCTCCCACTGCTCTGCCCTGGCCGGCTTGCTACGGGGACTCAGGATGGCTGGCACTGGGGCCCTGCTGCCCGCCTGGCCACCCGCCAGCATGCTAGGACTGGGGGCGCTGTGGCCATGGTGCGGGTGCTCCAGGTGCCCATGGGGGAGGGAGGGCAGAAAGGAAAGGAGAAGACATGTAGCCTTCGCAGGGGAAGGGGCAGGAGCCAGCATCCCCCACCGGCCCCGGTGCAGTAAATGTCTCAACCAAGGCGCTGCAGCTGGCCCTGCTGTAGGACTGAGTGTGACCGGAACCAGGCAGGGAGGGGGCCAGCCAGGCAGGGAGGGGCAAGGCCCAGGCTCGCGAGTTACAGGAACTAGCCCCAAGCGCCTCCGTTCCCCCTGCGCTGCACGGCTGGGCCGCCTCCCATACAGCCCCGCTCCGGGCGGCTGGAGCAGCTCTGGGAGGGGGCCGGCAGGGAGGTAGCCGGCAGCAGCTCTGGCTCCTGGGCGGGGGGGCCATGGGGCGCCGCAGGTGGCCTTCCCTTGCAGGTGAGAGCAGCACAACCGGAGCCTCATGCACCCCCTTGTTGGAGCTGGACTGGCGGTGCCCCAGGCCAGACAGGTACCAGGCAGCCTACCTTCGTACGGCTGGCTAGGAGCCACCCAGGTAAGCCCGGCCCCCAACCCCCTGCCCCACCCTCTGGCTCCCCAACCCAGAGCTTACCCCAAACCCCATGGCCCACACCCCTCTCCAGAGCTTGCACCCCTTTCTGCACCCCACCACCCAGGCCTGAGCCCCTCCCCAAACCTGGAGCCCTCTTGAATCCCAGACTCTCATCCTCAGGTCCACACCCATACCCTCGTCCTCTTCTGCAACAACCCTCCTGCCTCAACCCAGAGCCCCCTTCTGTGTTCTTGATCCCTCAGCCACGGCCCCCCTGCTCCACGACCCTCTATCCCAGCCCTGGGCACCTCAGCCCCACCCCAGAACCCGCACCCCCAGCCAGAGGCCTCCCATGTGCAGAACCCTTTGTCCACCAATTGGTGAACCCCTTGGTTCACCAATCTGAAGGTGACGTGTTGCACATCACCACCACATCGCACGGCCCCTCCACGTTGGTGCGCAAAACAAAATTCATTCCGCTCCGAGGTGGGAAAAATTAGCAGGAACATTCCAAGCACCTAACGTTAGCTGTCCCTGGGTGGCAAAAACAAAGTCAGTGGAGACACTGAAACAGAAAACTCCTGTCTTAGAAAACTAAGGAAGGAGGGAACCTCCTACCCTCGGCCCCTCAGATGGGGATAGACTGAGAGAGAGAAGAAAGCCCAGCAAACCCTGTGGGAAGGGAAGGAGGGTGGAGGGAAGGCCGTAGGGGGCTGTCCACGAGCGCTGGCTCACCTCTAGGATGGCGGCTGCGTTAAACTGAGGCTAGAAAAGGGGATTTAGCCGAGATGGAAGTGGCGTTTGAGCTTGGGGCTCTGGGTAAGTCGGCCAGATGGGGATAGACTGAGAGAGAGAAGAAAGCCCAGCAAACCCTGTGGGAAGGGAAGGAGGGTGGAGGGAAGGCCGTAGGGGGCTGTCCACGAGCGCTGGCTCACCTCTAGGATGGCGGCTGCGTTAAACTGAGGCTAGAAAAGGGGATTTAGCCGAGATGGAAGTGGCGTTTGAGCTTGGGGCTCTGGGTAAGTCGGCGGCGTTGGTGGTTCCTGACTCGCCGGGGATTGGAGTCCCGCACCTTCGCTGGCCACGGGGTCCTGCCCTGCTGAGACTCCGGCGCGTCCCCCGTGGCAGCACAAGGCCACGCTGTCCCACCGTCCCACGAAGAGGTGAGAAACTCGCTTTCCCGACCTCTGACCCGGGGGGAGAACTCACTGAGCGGGGGAGGGCGCCATGCTCCGGTGCGCAGCTGGAGGGCAGCCTGGCCGGGCAGGACGCCATCTGAGGAATGAGAGAAAACCAGCTGCCGCTCAACAGAGGTGGGAGGCGGCCAGGGGAATGCTACTCGTCAAGGCTGGGCTGCCTGGCACTCAGTGACGAGCTCTGGTGGGGGGGGAGCTGCGATGGGGGAGAGGCCGGGATGGAAGCCAAGTTCCTCTTGCAATTACCCTCAGGAGAGGAGAAAAGAGACTCCTAGAAAACTAGCACTGGAAGGACCCTCGACAGGCCCCCAGGTCCAGTGCCCTGCCCTCGTGGTAGCAGGGCCAAGCACCATCTAGACCATCCCTGACAGGCGTCTGTCCAACCTGCTCTTACGTATCTCCAGGGATGGAGATTCCACAACCTAGGCAATTTATTCCACCCTGAGAGTTGGGAAGTTTTCCCCCAGGTCCCGCCTCCACCTCCCTTGCTCCAATTTAAGCTACTTGGCACTTGCTCCTTGTTCTCTGACCCCTGCCACTGCCTCCCTAGCAAGAAGTTTCAGGTTTTTCTCATCCGAGGAAGGTCTATTTCAAAGGCACAGAGCAGCCTCCTGCTCAGCCTGAAGAGCGTTTGGCTGCTGGTTCCTTGCCAGATCCAGCTCATTAAGATCAATGTGATTAGAACATGCTGCAGTTTGTGACACTGGGGAACATCCTCTTTTTATTCTCCTCCTGGCGGAGGCCCAGTCTTATTCTCTGTCCTTGCGCACAGAAGCTTCTCACCATGGGCAGAGGGTGAAGGTAGGGATGGGGGAAGCAAGCCCCTAGCCCCGCCTCTCCTGCCCAGGCCCCGCCCCTCAGCAGCACAGGGAGGTAGGGTGGCACGTGGCCCCAGCCCTGGAGCACAGGGAGGGCGGGCGCTGGGGGCAGCCACACTCTGCGTGCCTCTCCGGCCGCGAGCACCACCGTGCCCCAGTGTTTCCAGGTTTCCCTGTTCTCTTGAGTTGGGTTAGTTCTGTCCCCACCTCCTTGTGCTGCAACCAAAGGGCACCCTCCAACCAAACCTGACACTTGCTTTGTTCCTTAGACTCACAGGTCCCAGCTCAGGAAGCCAAGGCCTCTTTGACCGAAGTAGAGTCCAACCACCGTGAGAACCTGTTTGGATTTCACTGCTCCAGGCAGCCCAAACCCACTTCTGCCCCACTCCGGCAACCTGTTCTTCACTTGCTCCGGGCAGCGAGAGAGCTGAGGTTACCTGCTTCCTGTCTCGAGGAATTCCAGCTCATAGCAAACCGTCCTTCGGCAGCGATCTCGTTTTTCAGATCGGACTCGTCATCGAGCATCTAGGACCTGACCCCAAAGAAGTCAAGCACCTCGTTCCTCCACATCCCAGGGACACTCGGAGGGAAGGAGCGTGGTGCAAAATTCATCCCCAGCCTGATGTCTTCACCTGGTTTGTGGGCCAGTGGCCAAGCAAGCTCCAACTCCTGTGCATGTAAGTCTCACTCTTGAGGTTGGCAGTGGCATTGCTCCGGTGTGAATGCAGCAGCTGTGGGAGACCAGGAACCAATCAAGTGACTTGGGCCAAGCCCATAAGAACATGGTAAGTCACGCCCCCCACCCCCATGCTTCATGAAAAGTGGCTTATAAAGATTCATAACTCAAAGATGCTTTATGCAAAACAGGGCCTGGAACATCCATTTTAAAGTTCCACTCTGCTGAACGTGTCTCTTCTAGTTTTGTGCGTGTATCATTCTTGCATGTGACGTTAGAAAAATGAATCTGCTTTTAATTCTAAATGCGAGAATAGGGGCCAGGAGTGATACTTGAGGGACTTAATGGTTCAGTGCTCAAAACAATGGCCCATGAATGGTTTTATTTTTCCTGTGAGCCCAAACTGTGGTTAGTCCTAGAAAGATGTGACCAGGCCACCTGGTTCTAGAATCCCTCTTGAATCTGGTACTTTTCCATGGGGATGGGGAGACTGAACAAAAGGTTCTCACCTCCGGGGAAAGTCTATTTAAGGCAGGGTTACTCAATTTTGGAAGCCCCGGGGGCCACAGTGATACTCACAGCACATACCAAGGGCTGCAACTTAAATGTGGTTGCATGTGCATGCAAATATATATGCAAATAGCTTCTTTCACACTGAATGGGTATGAATACAAAGATTGAGGCAAGACTACACAACACGCAGGCCCCATTTCAATCAGTTCTGCTGATAGGTAGATATTAATAAAATGCACTGATTGCCACTCACATGACAGCACTTTCAGTGAGCAATGACAGTCCAGGATGCATTTTATTAATATCTACCTGATTGCCACTCACATGACAGCACTTTCAGTGAGCAATGACAGTCCAGGAATTGAACTACTAAAATGCATCTCAGCAGAAGACCATTCTATTGACTCCGCGTTATGGAGCATGTTACCGGCAGAGGCCATGTTCAAAGGATCCTACCCACAGGCCGCATGTTGAGCCCTGCGTAAACCCAAACTGCACCACGGGCCACAAACAACCAGGCCACGGACCGCATGCAGCCCACAGGCCACGTGTTGAGTAGCCCTGATTTAAGGAATGGAAAACAATTAGGTTTTTGTCTTCAGTCAGCTTTTGAAATTCCCTTCCCTATCTTAAGAGGATGCACGTGAAAATTTTTGGAAACACAAACCTGTAGCAAAAGGGTGAAGGCAAAGCTGCTAGGCTCAGAAAAAGATCAACTCTGGCCTGAGATAAGAACAACTGTTTAGCATAAGAATTTGCATGCAACAAAGTCTCTGAGGGTATGTCTACACGACATGGAATGAGGTGTACCGGTAGTTCGGATTAGAGAGCCTAATCCGAACTACCTACTCTGTGCCGCGTGTAGCCGTGGGCACGGAGTCCGAACTACCGGGGCTTTAAAAATGGCGGCGCCCGGTAAGATGCAAATGAAGCCCGGGATATTTAAATCCCGGGCTTCATTTGCAACTTCGGTTGCCTACATTAACCACCCTAGTTCGAACTAGGGTGGTAGTGTAGACATGCCCTTAGTGTGTTAGAATTAGCTGGCCTGTTTTGTTTATTTTGGCTTAGTAATTTAGCAATCGCTTAATTCCTACTTTTAATAAACAAAGGTATTTCTACTAAGTATAATCAAGCCCCAGTGAAAACAATTGTTACCTGGGAGGAAGTAACCAGTGTGCATCTCTCTCTTTCATTGACGAAGGGGGTGAAAAACTTTGAGCTTTCTCTGTATAAAACTTTTCCACAGCGCAAGAGAGGGGTTTGGTCCTCTTTGGGGGCTGCGTTCGTGGGTGCTGTCAAAAGCTTTAGAGCGGAGTCCTCCCAGAATGGAGCTGGTTCAACATCTCTATTGCTCTGCAGCGGGGCGGTACCCCAGCTCTGTGTCTTGGCTGGGGAGACCAGAGCTTCTAGCCAGCAGGACAGAGTGGGGAGGAGCCTCAGAAGGCAGGCATTGGTGGCTTGATCGTAAGAACCAGCATTCTGGCTAATAAGTATAGATGGACCTAACCTCCTTGAATAGATCTTGTTCCTTTTTGGACCCTGTTAAAGTCCTGGTCTTCACATCCTCCAGCAAGGAGTTTCACAGATTGACTGTGCACTGCGTGAAGAAGTACTTCCTTTGCTTTGTTTTAAACCTGATTAATTTCATTTGGTGACCCCTAGTTCACTAGGTGACAAACCCAAAAGGGATTTCTGTGGTCCATCCCGTCCCACTGATTCACTAGTCAATGGGAAATAGGGTGCAATGGGCAGTCTGCTGCTAAGCAGCTTAGGTGCTGTTATGCCCCCGCTATCAACAGCGAGGTTGGTGGTTTTCCTGCCTCTTATATCCACTTCTGCTAACCCAGAGAAGACTCCAGAAGAGGTGAGGCTGTCCAGCACCTCTCTGAGCCGGCGGAGTAACCTGTCAGACAGCGTCCTGTTGTGCTGTGCACTCCCATCTCCACAGAAGGCGGGGGGCAGCGCAAAGAACTGCCCGTGCTGTCGGCTGTCCAATGTCCGAGGGATGTGTCCGAGAACACCAGAACGGGAACGGGCAAGTGGCGTTTAGCCTGTCAGACGTCAGGCGTGGCTGCACTGTTGCCATGGCAACGTTCAGTGGGAAAACAGGCTCGACAACGACGCCATGCAAGCAGGGGCATTCGGAGGTCTCCTTTTAGCCACCTCCGTTTCCGAGTCGTTCCGCTGACGTCTGTTGCCCGTTTCCGTGTACCCTGAAAACCAGTCGTGGCGAGGACTCCTCGAAAGTCAGGCCAAGCCCGGTGAGAAATGGGAGCTAGCGAGCGAGGCACCAGCGTTCTGCCTTGTTTGTGCCTCCAGGCCCACAGCGAGCGGCGGGGGCTACGTGGATACAAGCGCCGAAGTGGGGCCACAGTCTCAGGGCCCAGGCCTGTTCAGGCAGGTTGCATTGTGCAGCCAGCAGAGACAGCAAGGCCGCTGCCAAGGTCAGACAGGAAGGGGAAAGCAGGTGACTACCAGGGGCTGTGAACAGGCATTTAGGCTGCACGGCTCACAGGGGCCGGCAGTGGTGGAGAGGAGTACGCATCAGCCTACAGGGAGGGGATCAGTCTGTTGGACCCAGGGCCACGAGGGAGCAGCATGAGGAGTCTCCCAAGTGATGCGCTCTGCCTTTGGGGGAACGAGTGCCCCAGAACCGGACAGGCCCCTCCTCCAGGCGGATCATTTCTGCACCAATCAATGGGTAGCATCGGCTGCAGGACGAAACAGGAAGGGTTCACACGGGACCAGGGGCAGATATAGGGCAGGGCGAGCGGGGCGGCTGCCCCAGGCCCTGCGCTTCAAGAAGCCCCGCGCATGCGCCGTGGCAAAGGAGGGCCCTGCGAAATTGTGCTGCCCTGGGCCCCGCAAATTGGTCATCTGCCCCTGCACAGGACAATATGCTAGGAACCGAACCCACAGCCGTAGGGGGAGAAAAACCCAAATGGGCGCTTCAGGAACCCGGTGTGGGGCTCTACCAGCCAAGCACGACGGTCAGCGGATTGTCTAGCCCTAGGGGAGCATGCTACAGCTACAATCAGTTGTCAGTTCATACCAGCGATGGATAAGATTTACTAGTTAACCTTAACGGGTCATGCCTACCAGTTCCAGCTAACCAGTAAGGGATGGAACAGCTGCCTGCCTGCCCTAGCCAGGGGGCTGCTCCATCCATGTGGGACCCACCAGAGTGGCCCTCTGTGGCAGGCCTGGCTCCCCGGCTGCAGGTTACACGCCGGATCTCTGGGAGCAGGGCCAGATGCAGAGTCTGATCCCTGGGAGTGGGCCGGCAGCAGCTCCTGCTGGCCCTGCTCCCAGGAGGGCAGTAGAAGGGTGTGTTATACTGCAGAGACTGCAGGCTATACAACCGCTGGGATTTGCGTGGTTACACGGTCACCCGTTTCGTGGTTACACGGTCACCCCTTTTGTATAGCCCGAGTCAACACACAGGGATGGGAAGGGTCCGTGTACACATGCCACCGAGCGCAGCTGAATCGGTGCTATTCTGGCGCATCGCCGAAATCTGCTCCCAGAGGCAGGGGTGATGGCGCGGGGTCCATGGGGACGCAGGGCGGCTCTGTGCCAAACCTCTGCCCCGCCGAGGGACGAGCTCCAGCTGGGAGTCTGCAGGGCCCGGCTGCCGCATACCGCGTGCAAGGGGAAAGCAGGTTCCTGCTTCTGCGTCGGCCCTTGGTGCTCTAGTGCACCAGCAGGGCTACGGGCACATTCCCACCCCAGAACTCCCCCCTCCTGGAGGTTTGCTCTCCTGCCTCAGGGCAGCGCTGTCCAGTTCAGCCGAGTCCCCAAGGAGGAGCTCTTCCTCTTTAAGCCAGTCCCATGAGACTCCAGAATTTCTGCCTCCGTATTCCTCCATGTCTCGGCCACTCCCCCGACAGGCTCCATGTGTGTGCTGCCTGGCTTTGAACTAGCCGGCTCAGTGTGCGAGGGAGCAGCATTCCCACGGGTTCCTTGCTGTTCACTCCCCTCCAGCGATGGGCATTTGTTCCTCCAGTGATTGGTGGAATCACAGTGGGGACATCTCAGCCTCCTTTGTCTGCGCAGGAGATTTGGGGGCTGAACTTGGGAAGGAGAATGCCTGGCCTCCCATTCACCCTCCTCCTTCCGGGGGCAAAGTGGGGACCTTGCCTCCCCCCAGACTTAAACCCCTCTGCTTAAACCCCAAGCTGTTGGGGATTACTCGTACAGGTCAGAAAAACCACCAAGAACCCCCGATTGGACAGTTTTGTCCCACGCCGCTAGCCGACGTCATCATTAACCACAGCCAGGAACTGTTCCTCAACAGCCAGATCCCACAGGCCAGCTAAGCTTCACCTCCCACCCACTTACGCAGCAGATCTTTCCAGCGTTCCACATAAGCCACGTTCCTGAGCCCCGCCCCTCTCTTACGGGACCTACATTGCACCCTGGACGTTGCAGCTGTCACCTGAAACGGCTTGAAAACCAAACCTTTCTATTTCCCACTGCTAAGCATCATACTGCCTATGGCCCAGGCTCTGCCTTTCAGTTTCCCCACCAGAGTGGGCATTTACTGATCCTCAGGACCACAGGCACAGTGCGCAGGCTTTCCGGGCTGGGGAAACGTTCGGTGTTGTCTGCAGAGGCATCGTGACTGGGCGCAGTCGGTCCCACGTGTGGATTTTTGGAGAGGGGGATCCTGCAGCGCTGGGACCCTGG